TAATGAGATTATTGGTGGGAACAAGACCTGTGACCCAGTCTTTCTAGGTCGTCTGAGGCTGCTCACCTGGAATATGGAGTTCACAGGGGTGCCTGGAGAAGTCGGTCAGTCTTCAGTGTGCCGGGCTAAGGAATCTGGACTTGACATTTAGGTTTCCTCAGGAACCAAAGAGTATCCGGGAAGACCAGCTGGGAATCAGTCTGTCTCTGAAGTCCTAGACTATATGCATTAGAGAAGAAGCAAGTGGCAGGGAAGGGGAGAAAAGAGGATCGCTGGAGGTGATGGGAGGCAGCATGGGCGCTAGAGGAAGGAGCTGACCTGGAGGACATGCCAAGGGTAAATGGATCAGGGGGGACAGATGAAAGGCACATCTAAGACATGGAAGGTTCTGGAGATAAGTAAGCATTACATGAGATGTCTGGAGTATGTTCTCCTCTGGCTGACGGGCCTTTATCTGTGTTCTGAGAACAGCTTGTATGAGGGGATGGCACATGAGAAGGAATGAGGGAGGAATTCTTCCGGGAACTTTCAAAAGTCTGGCTGATTCCCTTCTAGAGCTGATCACAGCTATCAAGCTGTTGGCGTTTGCTAGAAGAATTTTAACACCAACCATACATGGAGTGCCACACCCCCCGGGTGGACCTGGGATCACATCCTCCCTTTATGGTGCTTTCCTGTTGTGATTTTCCCAAACCTGTGGTCTTCAAGTATTCGTCGCCTGCCATGTCACCCTTTCCGTCAGTCCCCTAACCCAGGCCCCTGCACACACTTTCCCCTCAGGCATCAGTCATGAAGGCTCTTCTGTGTGGGCAGCCTCTTGTCTCCTCTCAGCTCTCAGGTGCCCTACCTCCAGGCCTCACTCGGCACCAGAGCATTTCTTTTTTCTTTCAGTAGTCCCCCTAGCTCTCCTACTGCCACATCACCCGTGGACCATCACTGTGTTTTCCTCTCCTGTCTCGCCCCCCTCACTCTCCTTCCTTTGCTGTGCACCTCAGCTCTGTGGTCAGTTTGCTAGTTTTGTCTTTTTCTTGATTGTTTTTTTTTTTGCTTTCTCTATATTCCACATATCAGTGAGACCGTCTGGTATTTATCTTCTTCCTTCTGACTCCATGGGCTAGTGTACCCTTCCAGCTCCATCCTTGTTACCGCAGATGGCGCGAGTTTGTCTTTCTTGATGCCTGAGTAACATTTCATCGCGTGCCACTGCACCGGAGCATTTATGAAGAACATCCCTGGGAAGAGCCCAGCAGGAGTGGACCTGCCTCAGCTGTGTCAGTCTTTGGTGTCAGCTGTCCTGAGCCTCCCTGCTCTGTCCTCAGTCCTCTCCGGGGTCTTCCCTCTCACCAGCTGGCCTGTGACCTCCAAGTGTGTCCCCCACTCGTTTATAGTGACTTCTTGCTTTCGTTCATTGGAACTGAGGCCTTGGACATGGGTCTCCGGACCTGTTTTTCCGGACATTTCTGTACATTGGTATCCTCCTCTTTGCATGAGCAAGTGAAGGCAGCCCTCTTTATTCTATCGCTTGTTCTCACCCTTCCCAGCCTGCTCTGCGGGAGGCTGCGCCTCCCATGCTGTCTCTTGACATCGTCAGGGCATTAGGAGAGACTCTGAGAAGCAGAGTGCCTGTGTTCCCCTGAAGAGGGAAAGTTGTACTTCCCAGAAGAGGGGAGTTGTTGCACCTCCCAAAGAAGATCTGAACTAGGGAGTCTCCATGACAAAGCCTGCTAAAGGTCTCCTCTTTGTTCCTGGTTAATGCTGAAGTAAGTTAGTTATTCATTGGCCTGTGAAAACCTAATTGGGACCCAGGTGACAATTGGCTTATTGTTCTTATGCATGAACTGTCACAAAAGAAGTAAAAATTGTTAAAGATATAGTTAGGAAAGAAATTTTTTGGCCCTGAGAACTATGGAGAACAAGCTGCCCTGAACCAGCTGTGCTTGGAAACCATAGCCTAACCTGGGGGTACCTGTTTGGGGCAACAGTACATCTCCTGGTGTATGTGAAAAGTTAACAGTGCTCAGGTTGTGTGGACGTTCGGTATTTCTTGTTGAAGGTTAGTTTTTTTCTTTTAAATATTTATTTATTTATACAAGCACTGGGTACAGTCAGAAGCGCGGAGGGTGAGAGAATTCACCAGAGCCAGAGCAGGGAGCAGAGCAGGCAGAAGGACCGAAGGACACTGCTGAGGGGAGCAGCGGGCAGCAGGAGAGGTCTGCGCGCCATGTGGGACCCTCCTCCGGTGGCCTGGGAGCAGCCGGCTTTCGAACCGGCGCCGCAGAGGCAGCGGACAGCTTGGCAACCCAGTGCTCAACTGCTGCACCACCAGGGAGGCCCTCCATGTTTACTTTTGATGCCCCAGAAACTTTATAGTCATCCTTGGTATCTGGGGGAATTGGATTTAGGAATGACACCCCCACACCCCCAGCAGATCGCAGAAGTGCACGGATGCTTAAGTTCCATATGGTTGGCCTGGAGAGTCCTCAGCACAGAGTCAACCTGCTGACATCTGTTCACCGGACCAAGTCCAGCACCGCGAGCAAAAAACACGACCAGCGCGCTGATGCCCTGTTGCTGGGCTCTGCCCCTGGTGGTTCCCGCCCTCTGTGTTTACTCAGTTCCAGCAGGGAATCAGCTCCTCGGTGGCTTTGTTCTGGTCACCGGGTGGCGCCAGAGACCTGCACTTGCTGACCTTGCTTTTCCCCAGTGGTTCTCTGAGAAAGGGTGGGGGGCGCCTCCACACAGGGGCTGTCCTTCAAGCCGGGTGCTGTGTCTGCAGCGCGTCCACCCGGCGTTGTGCCCGCAGCTGTGTGGATCCGGCCCCGAATGCTGCGCTCTAGGCTCAGTTCCAGGCTGTCAGGTCCAAAACGCTGGCTGTCGCCCTGTGCAGTGCCCGCTGCTAGGGCGCGTCCCGGCTCCTGGTCCTGCGTCTGGCTCTCCGCTCCAGGATGGGGTCCTGCTCCACGCCTGGTTTCCCTTCTTACCCCGTAGGCGCGGCCCAGCCCCTCTCAGAATGTGGTGATTTTGTTCTGGGCACTAGGTGGCGCCAGAGATCTTCCCTAGTGTCCTTCCAGAACTGCCTTTTTTTCCCTGTAGGTCTCGGGGAATAGAGTGGGGGTGATGGGGTTTTTGGAGCCTGAGATCCTGGGGTTCACTCTGGGAAATGTTTCCCCAGACCGTGTTTCAGCAGCCCCCGGAGTTCCCCAGGTCGCTCCTCCACGAGACGGAGTCGTTACTTGTGTTTACCGGGCAGGTTTCTCAGGGGAAGGGAAGGGGCAGGTTTGCTGAGCGAGGCCTGCGCGGGTGCAGGTGGCAGCCCTGAGGAGAGCGGCCTCCGCTGAGGGAGGTCCCTGGAGACGTCCTGGCAGGTACCGGCCACCCGCCAGGAGGCTGCGCCCCACAGAGGTGAGAGCTGGTGAGAAGAGGCTCCTGCGTGGTCCCGGGCGGGCAGGGGGGCGGCTGCCCCGGGCCTGTGCGGAGCCTGCCCTGCCACAGCCCCTTTCTCCTTGGGAGGCGCGCTCCTCCGGGAGCGGCTGCTTGCTGCGGATGTTGGGCAACAGGCAGCGCTAGAAAGGGACCAGAGATTCCGGGGTGGGCCCGTCTCCACATCCTTCCCCTCAGGCCTGTGCCCCACTCCCTAGAGCAGGGACCCTGCTCCCTTCCTGCCTCCTGACAAGGCGCTGGCGCCTGAGGGTCCGACCTGCACAGCTGGGTAAGGGTCCTGTGCATGTGCTCGACCCCCACCTCCTAGTGTGAGTCAGGATTTGGCCTTGGGGCTAGTCCTTTCCAGTCTTTCCATTCTTGTCCTCCATCATCCCCCCCCCAACCTTATCCAGCCCGAAATCTCTTGGGGAGTTGAAGGGAGGAGGTCCATTTTCAGGAGCTGCTCCCTGCTGGAGTGGCATGTAGAGCTGGCCCTGCCTCCAAGGGCCCGGGAGATGGTCTCCCTGACAATCGTCCCTGAGCTGCCTGTTGGTGGTTCTGGAAGGAGGTGAGGGGGGCATCTGGACAGGCTGTTCCCCTTGGAGGGGTGAGCTGTTTGTTGGGAGGAGGAGTTTAACCTTGAGGCGCTCCCCCTCGCTTAGAAGAAACAAATTTGAGTAGGAGATTGTGTATGTTAAGATTTGAAGAGGAGAATGAGAAGTACAGCAGCGGCTAAGGGCCCTCGGTCACAGGTGAAGTTGTAACAGGGGGTCCCCAGGAAAGGGGAGGTTCCAGGTTCCCTGCCCCACCCAAGGGAGGGTGGAGCTGAGCAGGGAGAGGAGAAGCTGCAGAGGAGACTGAGAAGGAAGGAAGCAGGATGGCAGAACCTGTTTAGAGCAGGCAGGGTTGCAGGGTCTGGGCTGCCCCCTCCCTGCCCTGGAGCAAAGTCATTGGGGCCAGCAGCTGAGTGTAGGCTTAGTCACAAGCTGAGCAGTAGTAGAATAGCAAGTGTTGGGGTTGGGACATGAGAGCACATTGCACCAGGGACGCAGCCCATTTTTCGAGTGCCCTTAGACTGAAAGAATGTCGGTGGGATATTTGTTCCTCGCAGAGGAGCTGTTCTAAATCCCCTGTGTCCCTAGTTAGAGCAACACCCACCCTGGGAGCCCTGAAATGCTGGAGTAAGGCACAAAGCCAGGCACTCAGCAGGAGGGTTGGCTTGCTGTGTGTGCAGAGTCCCAAGGCCAGGGAAAAATACTAGTTTCTTAGTTTAGTTAGGGACAGTGTTGTGCGACTTATCACTGGGAGGCTTGTCAGACTCTCAGGAAAGTTGGGTGAGCTTTAAAGTAAAGTTAGAGTGAGGACCGCAGTCCTTCTTTTTATTTATTTATTTTTTAAGGAATATTTCTTATAATACAAGAATCGTGGTACAGGCCAGATGCTTGAGAGGGTGAGAGGATTCACCAGAGACAGAGTGGGGAACAGAACAGGCAGACTGACTGAAATACACAGCTGGGAGGAGCATCAGGGAGGCAGGAGAGGTCTGCTGTGAACATGGGTATCTCTCTGTCCGGGGATCCAACCTGTGCTGCAGTGGCCGAGGAGAGTCCCATGGCCTGCATCCCAACCCCTTGCCCCACCAGGGAGGCGCCATAAAATGATTTTTAAAAATATTTATTTATTTATGCATACAAAAGCTGGGGTACAGGCCAGAGATGCAGGGTGTGAGAGGATCCACCAGAGAGTGGGAAACAGAACAGCAGACTGACTGAAATACGCTGCTGAGGGGAGCAGCGGGAGAGACAGGAGAGGTCTGCTGTGCCATGTGAGTCAGTTCCCCGGCCAGGGATCAAACTTATCCTTCAATGGTTGTCATAGCTTCATAGTGCTGTACTGAACCCCTTGTGCCACCATGGGGCTCCTCACAACTCTCTTTTCACCTTGTGTCCTACGTAGAGTTCTGCTGGTGGCCATGTAGTAACTGTATATTTTGATTTCAGGAACCCTTGACCTGCAGAGATGTGCCCATCGAATTCTCACACAAGGAGCAGGAGGTCCTGGACCAGCTGCAGTGGAAATTGTACAGGGACGTGATGCTAGAGGCCTACAGAAATGTGGTGTCCTTGGGTGAGGAGAATATCCCTCTAGATTTCCTCATCTGCCCTCAGTGTTTCCTGTACCGCGTGTGGATGTGCTCCAGGGATGCCCAGAATTGTCGGATACATTTAGGTCCCTATTTTAAAGAACAACAGTGTGGGTTTGTTGGAAACAAAGTCTCATGATGTTTCATCATGGCTTAAATTTCTCCTGTCTTAGGATGATCTGCAGCCTGCACTCTGTATGAGTGCTCATTCAAGAAAATATGTGACTTAAGCGTTATTGCTACAAGCAAAATCCCAGCTTCTCTATCACATTGCTAGGACTCAGAGGTGTAAAAATGGTTCTTAGGATGTGAAAATTTCAATGATTTCTGGTAAAGGTGCTGTCAGAAAATGTATTTGCAGTGATCCTTTTCCAGAACCTTCTATACTGTCCCCTCTACTGAATACAATACTGTATTAGGAATTTGAGAATCTTCAGGCCATCTCATATCACCGGTCCTAATAAACAGGTCTTGCTGTGTCTACGCCCGAGCTGGTCATCTTGTTGGAGCAAAAAAATGGAGCCCTGGGATGTGAAGAGAAGTGTAGATTCCGTCCTCCTCCCAGGTAGGTGGAATGAATATGGCAGAGGACACAGCTGGTCCACAGGAACGCATCCATCCATCCTAAATGTCTGGGGAGCTCTGTTTCAGGGGTTGCAGACATGCTCCTGTTTTGTCTTGGAGGCTTAGTCTTGCTCTCCCTGGGGGTGTCTCCTCTCTGACACTTGAGGCCTCTGCCTTTCCTTCTTACTGAATTGAACTTAGGTTTTATCCATTTTGTTCATCTTTCATACTCCAGACTTCCTTTCATAGAGAAGCACCTGCTTTTTGGCCATAATGTTCTATTTATTTTTTTCTTATTTTTTTTAATGTCTTCCTTTTTGCCAATACGGAGCTAAAATTGTTCTTTTTCTAATTCCTAGAGGTGTGAAGTTATGTTGCTCAACTGAGATTCTCTCTTATTGCTAGTGTAATTGTTTAATGCTTTAAATTTACCTCTTAGTACTGTTTTCTCAATCACATGTTTTGGGGAGTTTTCTCTGTTGCAATGTTTTCTCAGTATTGCTTAGTTTTTTGGAATCAAGGAACCATGGGTGTACCTCACTCTTCGTGATTCAGGGAAAAGATTCTCATATCCTCAAATGTCTGTCACCACCATACCCAGCACCAGTGCATTGTGGGCTTCTACATAAATCTTTGAATCCCCTGCCACTTTTGTACCCACACCCACTGTCCTTCCCTCTTTGTACACTCATTCTGCAGTCCTATTTCTAGAGTTTATTTTGGTTTGTATTGTCAGATTCTTTGCCTTGTTTTTCCAAAGTCCAAATAGGAGTGAATTCATCCAGTTAGTCTTTCTCCTTCTGATTCTTTTCACTGAGCATAATCCTCCCCAGCATTCCATTGTTGTTGTTGCACATGGCCAGATGTATCCTTTCTCATAGCTCAGTAGTATTTCATCCTGTCTATATACCACACCTTTCATTTCGAATTCTTTTTCACCCCTGTTTGTCAACTCTGATTCCTGAATTTATAACATTATTTTCCTTCCCATTGCAATTGGGCCTTGAACCTCCCCTTGATTTTATTGCTTTCATCTTCTGCATTGAGTTCTGTCTTCGTTTGCGGCACACTTTCAGGACCACATCTTAGTGTATAGGTAATATTACAATGACTTCTCAATACAGGTAATTTTCTGTTATTTTCTGGGGTCATTCTTTTCATTCTGTGATGCTTTAGACTCAGATCATATCATTAGAGTGATCCACACGGCTCCATTTTCATGATTAGTCTTCTCAGAATGTAGTTCCATCCTTACATTCCACATGGTGCGCTGAAACCTATGTTGAGTGTCATATAGTTAAGATTGAATTGGTGTTATTTTTAATTCATTCAGACACATTTGTCATTGTGTTGTGGACTTTTATTTACTTCAAAGTATTACTGAAAGGGAGGTGTTAACTATTAAAGAATGATTCCTGGGCCTCCCGGTGGCACAGCGTTTGAGCGCTGGGTTGCGAAGCTGCCCGCGGCCTCTGTAGCGCCGGTTCGATGCCCGGCTGCTCCCTGGCCACCAGAGGAGGGTCCCACATGGCGCGCAGACCTCTCCTGCTGCCCGCTGCTCCCCTCAGCAGTGTGCTTCAGTCCTTCTGCCTGTTCTGCTCCCCGCTCTGGCTCTGGTGAATTCTCTCACCCTCCCGCGCTTCTGACTGTACCCAGTGCATGTATAAACAAAACAAACAAACAAACAAATAAATAAATAAAAACATGCCTCTATTTAAAAAAAAATAATGATTCCTCTATTCTCAGTCGTTTTATTTTTTTAAATTTTTTAAAGATTTATTTATTATTTATTCAAGCACGGGGTACAGTCAGAAGCACCGGAGGGTGAGAGAATTCACCAGAACCAGAGTGGAGAACAGAACAGGCAGACTGACAAAGTACACTGCTGACGGGAGCAGTGGACGGCATCAGAGGTCTGCGCACCATGTGGGACCCTTGCCGGCAGCCAGAGATCTAACTGGTACTGCAGAGGGTGCAGGCAGCTTTGCAGCCCAGCGCTCAACCGCTGCGCCACTGCAGATGCAGTATTCTCAGCCATTTTATACAGTATTTTTTTTGACCTTTTCTTATATGCTTTAATTCCTCTCTCCTTTCTTGTTGGTGATTTCCCTCCACTTTCACACATTTGGATGTTAATGGAGGTATATTGGTTTGTAATATTATTTACAAACATTGTAAAGCATTGTCATCCAACCTATGTACACATCACATCAGTCTCTGTTTTCATTTCTTTTCCATGTATTTTACGGTATCTTTTTTCTCCTGGGGATTCCATAGCATGTTGAAAAGTTATGACAGTCTTTCCTAAAGTGAAAACCATGTAAATTCAGCTGCATACCAAAACTCCACTCTTTAACATTTCGACCCCTACTGACATCACAAATTATATTTCATGATATTTGTATTCTCTAACATGAATCTATGATTTTTTTTTGGTGTCATATTTCCAAATTCTGAAGCAGAAACAATATTTTGACTATAGGGTTATATCTGTATTTGCTGTGTATTTACCTTTCCCTAAGGATGTTACCTATGCATAAGCCTGTGTGTTGCTGTCTCGGGCTGATGTTACCTATCCAAGCATCATGTCGGGGGTCTTTTATGGTATTCATTTTATGTCTGAAATATTTAAAGTGTTTTGTCTTGAGTGCTGTGTGTGGGCTAGTTATTCCTCGTTGTCTTCCTGCTCTGTCTTCTCAAGACCACCAGGTCTCCGTGCCACAGTCAGGTACAGAAGATTTGTTGCTAACTGTGGGACCGGGAAGAGATGTAATCGGCACCTTTGAGAATTTAGAATTATTGAAAGACCAGACATGTCAAGATACATGTGAAGGGCACAACAGTTGTTGCAATGAAGATTCCCAATAAGGGACAATTATCCATAACACACTTCCTCCTGTACAAAGTGATCCTGCGTGTAAACCATGTTGGGTCAAACTCCATTTTATGTCTGTTGCAGGTAGAGATAAATATGTTTCTGTTAGCAAAGATCCATGTGACATTTTTAATAAGACACAATCTCTGAGAAGAATGTGGGAACATATGGGAAGTCCCCTAGTCCATAATGCAAATGATTATTCAAAACATTGTCAATGTGGGATAGATTTAAACTTTCAGTCATGTCATTGTCAACATCAGAGAATTAGAAAGGAAGATGAAAAAAATCTACACAGGATCCTATTGAGGAGCCCTCAATACTTTTCTAGCATCATGTACTTCATGAGAAACTCTACAATTGTAAAGGATATGGCAAAGCTACTAAATGGTGCCCAAGACTTACTGAACATCAGAGAGGGAAACCTCAGAAGTATGAAGAGCATGGTAAAGCCTTGTATTGGCATCCACAGCTGACTAACCATCTAAGGATTCATGCTGGAGAAAAGCCTACAGGCATCCTGACTGTAGTAACACCTTCCTGTGCTGTGTCACCTTTCCTGATTGGAGAGTTCATACTGGGGAGAAACCTTACAGATGTGAGGAATGTGGAAAAGTCTTTAACCAACTGTCAGCCTTTAACGATCTTAGTCAGCATCACAGAATTCATACTGAGGAGAAACCTTACAATTGTGAAGATTGTGGCAAAGCCTTTAACAATAAGTCATGTCTTACTCGGCATCATAGAATTCATACTGGGGAGAAACCTTGGAGATGTGAAGAATATAGGCAAAGCCTTCTACCAACCATCACTTTTAAGTCAACATCACAGAATTCATACTGTCTCTAAAACTTTGCTGAGGTTCCACAAAATTTCCTTTAATTGATTAAATGACAGGCTACCAAATTTTACTTTAATTAAATGTTTGGGAAGCTGTGTCATAAATACTAGAAAACAGCAAAAACAACCATATTTAATCTCTATAAAAATTCTAGCCCTAAGTGATAATATTGACAATTAAATCATAACCTTTAATTGTCATCTCAAAAACCTTAGTTCTTCAGACACTAAAAGACATTATGTACCCAACATTATTAACCTAGACAAGGGCCAAGATTATACCCAATGCTAGTGTATAAGTACATGTTTTGAAACAACCCATTAGATTATAACTCAGTTACTATTAACCAAACATTATTTCAGCTAATATGTTCCCAAAACACTAAAATAATATAAATCATTTGAGTATACAAAATTTGTTTTCCTAAAATTCCTTTTTCAGATGTTCAACACTTTACTTAGCTTTGTTACTTTTAATTCTTTTAGACCTTTTAATATTTGTTTGAACACTTATCACTTTATTTTTAAGACCATTAAAATATCTATTTTTAATATATATATATATATATATTTTTTTTTCCTAACAGAACTAACCTTTTGTGTGACTTTGAGTACAATTCTTCCAGGGAGTTGACATAGAGCTAAACTAAAATGTGGAAAAACTGCTGCTTTGTTCGTAGGGTTCCAGAGACCTCTGAAAATGATGAGGAAGCTTGCCTCCATTGGCAGGACTAAATAACCCGGTTCCCTGAATAGAAAGCTCTGTCATAAAGCCTGAACTCTTTTGTCTTTTCGCTGCCATTAATGATGTACACTTCAAACAACCTGGACAGGACACCGATAAGATCCCAGTGCGTGCCTACGTTGGATACCCCTTTGTTATACTTCTGGGGAATGCCTCAGCTGCACGCATTCAATTGCGTGGGACTTCTTACTCCATTCATTGTTCTGGCTGCATTGTTACTAATTGTATTATCCCCTCTCTTGCTCGTTTGTATCCTGTTGTAATCTTACTTAAAATACCCCCTATGTTATGTTACCTGTTGATTTACATGATATGCCTTGGTATAATAATACTGCCATGCAAGTTTTAAATGAAGTACATGCTCTTCTTCGTCCTAAACGTTTTATTGCCACCCTTATTCTAGAAATTGCTGCTCTAATTTCCCTGGTTACCTCCTTAGCTACTTCCTCTGTTGCTTTCATTCAGGAAGCTAAGACAGCTTCTTTTGTAAATGACCTTACCAAAAATGAGACCATGGCACTCTCTGTGCAGTGGGACATTGACTACAAGTTAGAAAGAAAGATAAATGCCCTGGAAGAAATTGTCATTGCCATTGGAGATGAAGTTCAGCTGCTTAAGCAGCAATTATCCACTCACTGCCACGTTCAGTTTCGTTTCATTTGTGTTACACCTTTGCGTTATAACTCCTCTCTACATTGGAATCTTACTAAACATCACCTATTTGGCATCTGGCATGACAATGACCTCTCTCATGACCTTACATCTCTTCAGTCTAAAATCTCTGCTGTCAGTAAATCTCACCTAGATACTTCAGTCTCTTCCTTTGCCCATTCTCTGGCTTCCACTCTCCAATCTTTAACTCCTACTCACTGGTATCATCTTGTTCTCTCCTTCCTTGTTCTTTCCCTACTTGTCCTGCTTCTCTGTTTGTTTGTTCCCTTCTGTGTCCGCTCACTTCACTTCACATGCATCCAGTGTGACATGTATGCTTACCAACTTCGTTCTAAAAACAAAGGGGGACCTGCTGCACCCCCCCCTGCAGTGACCTTCAGGGCTAATGGCTGTTGCCATGGTCCCTGAGGTCCGGCGTGGGCAAGGAACCATGCGCGCAGGGGGAGAACAGCAAACTCCCTAAGATGCAGAGAAGCCGAATGCCTGCCAAGAGATAACGACCACCAGAAGCCGCCACAAAGATGGTTAAAAGAAATGCTGACCACCTGGAACCTTATCTCGCTTTCTCAAGGCCCACAAACTTTATTCTGCTACAACTGTCTTTCTAAAATCTTTCCTTTTTCTGGTCATTGATTGCTAATTAAAAAACATACGTAATTTAATAATTAGGCTAATGCAAATGAAACATTACTAAACACTGTGTTATAATAGAATTGTTGGTTTAATAATCTTTCTATTATGTGCTTAACCTTAGTACCTTTGATATTAACTGCATTATAATATAAATTTACCTATGACAATTAATTATGAGTAAACATAAGTAAGTAATAGTAGTAGTAATTAGTACAAAAATATAGAGTTAATAACCTGTCCAATTAGGAATAAGGCTAGGTCCAGGTGTAACTTCGGACATAAGTCACTGCCCTGTCAATTAAGCTAAGCCTATGAGCAAACTGATCTCTTTGATGTTCACTGTTCCTATGCCTTTAGAAAAAACATATATATACTGACCACTAACTTAATAAAAGCGCACTCAGATTTATACTCTCTCTTGAAGTGTGTCTGTTTGTCATTTCTTTAGCCGAATCCCTGACCACCCTGCGCAGTCTCTCAACCCTGAGACGGCCTCATCGTCTACTGCTGTGCTGGTCCGAGGCAATACTGGGGAGAAACTTTACAAATGTGAAGAATGTGGCAAAGCCTTTCACCGCAAGTCAAGTATTACTCTACACTAGAGAATTCTCATCAGAGAGAAATGTTAAAATTGCGAAGTCAATTTTTTTCACTTTAGTGTCTTTTATTCAAGATTTATTTTATTATGCATGCAAGAACTGGGGTATCTTCCAGAGGTGGGGGTGTGTGAGAGGATTCATCAGAGATAGAGTGGGGAACAGAACAGGCGATTGACTGAAATACACTGCTGAGGGGAGCAGCAGGCGAGACAGGAGGGGTCTGCTGCACCATGTGGGTAGCTCCCTGACCGGGAATCCAGCTTGTACTGCAGTGGCTGCGTATAGCTTCATAGGTTGTGTCTTAACCCCTTGTGCCACCAGTGAGGTCCCAACTTTGGTGTCTTTAACCAGAAGTTTAACCATAAGTGTCAAAATGATTAACCAGAAGTCAGATCATAGTAAACATCAGAGAGTGTAAAGCTGGAGTAACTGTAAATGGAAAGTGATGAGTGGTTTGTCCAAATATGAATTTTGAAACCACCAGATTTTCATACTGGAAACTTGAAAGAAGTGAAAATATGATTAAATAATTTATCATGCAATTTAGATTCATATTAAGATATTGCAAGACCGTAGGAAGTGAGAAACACTTTACATTCCTTAAGTCAGAAAATTGTTATGGCGCATAAGCCAACATGAAAACACTAAATATTAGCATAATTGAAAAGTCTGAGGGCCTTCCTGGTGGTGCAGAGAGTTAAGTCACAGCTCTATGAAGCTGTCAGCAGCCACTGCAGCATGATTTGGTCCCTGGCCAGGGAGCTAACCACATGGAACAGCAGACCTCTCCTGACTTACCTGCTGCTCCCCTCAGCAGTGTGTTTCATTCAATCTGCTTGTTCTGCTCTGCACTCTGTCTTTGGGGAATCCTCTCACCCCCTACACTTCTGGCCTACCCCTTGGTTCTTGCATGCATAAATAAATAAAATCAATCTTTAAAGAAATATATGAGTTCAAGACAATGATTTGGGACCTGTATAGTTATTTTCTTTGTCCTTTTTCTATCAACCATACTTGAGATATTGTGAAGAGACCTGATGAATTTAATTCAGCCCTAAATCACTTCACTCTATGGCTTTCTCCTGGTATGTACATGGAGTCATGTATTTGACTTTCATGCTTCAAACATCTAAGAGACCCTTTCCAGATGATGAGTTTCTTTACATCTTAATTGCTTCAATACATTTATGATGGTGTCATGTGTCATGGATGAAGAAAATCTAAATGGATATACTGGTTGTGGCTGACTGAAAAGATTGATCTCAATCACCCAGAGGAGTCGTGGACTTCATTGTGGGTATAAAAGTTAGGCAGAGAAACGTGCTGAAGTTCAACTCATTTCATTATCTCCTTCAGGAAATACACTATTAGTTTATTAATATCCTCATGTGTCTTCATGGTAATAATGGAGCCATGAATATTATTCGACGTTGTTGCCAAAAGAAATCTTCACAGGCATGTGATGAAAGAGCAGGTGAGCTTTTCATAACAGCGTGCAATTCTTGTGCATTCACATTAGCTAAGCACAGCATCTTTCTGTTGAACACCGACTCTGTGATCCAGATATCAGGAGGTCAAGATGCTTCTTAAATACCTGAATCTTGATTTTGATGAAATGTGTCTTGGTATCTGAGTCTTATTTAGACTGTATGTGAACTTCTTATGTATTTTTTTTTAATTAATTCATACAAGACCTGGGGTGCAGGCCAAAGGGGGTGTGTGTGTGAGAGAGAGAGAGAGATAGGGAGGATTCACCAAAGACAGAGTGGGGCGCAGAACAGGCAGACAGAGAGGAATACACTGCTGAGGGGAGCAGCAGGCAGGACGGGAGAGGTCAGCCCTGCCCTGTGGGTCGCTCCCTGCTGTGGAGGGGCGGACAGCTTCTGAGTCAGCGCCGTGCTTAACCCCTTCAGCCCCCGGGCGGCCCTGTTGAGCTCTCTTCCCTCAGAGCCCTGAACCCGTCTGGGACCCGCAATTTTCGCGGACCTCGCCCACCTGCCCATTCTCCTCAACCTCCACTCCTCCCACTTCCAGGCCGCATCTCCACCGCAACGACGGCCCGACGGGCTGCGCAGGGCATTGTGGGAAATGTAGTCTCGCGCCGCCGTGGTTCCCGCGGAGGTTTCTGGGCGGGGCTTCCGCGATCTGCGCGTCCGGAAGTTTCTGCGCGTCCGGAAGTTTCGGCGTCTCCGGAGCGCTGCGGCGCCCTGAGGTGAGCGCGGGGTTTGTCCCGGGAGGCCGAGCTCGGGGGAGCGGAGACGCCGGGCGGGTTGGGGAGCGGGGAGCGCGGGCGAGCGGGGCCCCTGCCCCGTGGAGTCGGACGCTTTGGAGCCGATTCCCGCCGGGGCGCGCGGGGGGCGGGGGCGGAGGCCGTTGGGGAGAACGTCTCGGCCTTTCCGGGTTTCCCCGGCGCGGCCGCCCGGCCCTGTCCCCGGACGCTGCCGGGGTCTTCCCGGGGCGGGGGACGGGGTCCCCGAGGCGGGGGCTTGGGGAAGCGCGGGTCCGCCTGTGCGCATGCGCGCTGACTCCTCTGGCCCCCCGAAAGTCGGGCGGTGAGGGAGGGGAGAGCCCGGCGGCGTTTCTCGGGTTGGGGGGGGCCTGGGCGAGATTCGCGCACCCCAGGTGGGGCGGGAGAGGCCCGCGGGTTGCCCAGGGAGGCGGCCCTGTGTCGGGAAACTGGGTTTGCAGGGCGGGGTTGTGGCGGGGAGTTCCTGGGGCGTTAGGGGCTTGTGGACTGAATTTCCGGGCGCGCTGCGCGTTCCCCCCCAGGCGGCGTCCTGCTGGCCGCTTCATTCCCGCCTCCCGCCCGCACGTGGGCACCCAGGGGACGCGGCGCTGTGGAGAGTCCCGGAGTGGAGGGCGGGAAGGTCGTCTCGCTGGAAGTGGAGTCCACACTCTGCAGCGACTCCTCAGCTCTGAGACGGTTGCTCCTGCGTGACCGTGGCGCAGGCAGTGGGCAGTGTCACCTTTTACTAAGTTGTGGTGAACCGTCCGCCCAGGCTCTGCCGCGCGTGGACTCGGGGCCCTTCCTGCCCTGCTAGAAGTGCCACCCGCTGCCACACGCGGTGACTCTCTGGTGTCTCCAGGCAGCGTGTGGCGGGCTCTGGCCAGGAGATTCCCGGACCCCGGCAGCCGCCTCCGTCCTCTGTGCTGGACCCCAGCGCCCCCCAGCGCCGCTCCCGAGCCCTCGCGCGTCTGTGAGAGCAGCGACCATGGACGAATCTCTGGTGAGTGACATGTTGGCTTCAGCTCGCGGTGCATTGACTATGCGGGTTCATCACCGACATGCACATTAGAAACATAGTTTTCTGCAGGGACACATTCCTCACCAGGGAAAGGTGTGGCGTAGGTCCAGGCCCTTCCCATGTCCAGCGTGCGTGGAGATGGGGCTCTTCCCTGGTGCTCCCGCAGCGCAGAGTCTGTACCTGGGTTCCCGTTGATGATGCTGAAGGTGTGGACTGTGGGAACAAGACCTGTGACCCAGTCTTTCTAGGTCTTCTGAGGCTGCTCACCTGGAATATGGAAGTTCACAGGGGAGCCTGGAGAAGTCGGTCAGTCTTCAGTGTGCCGGGCTAAGGAACCTGGACTTGACATTTAGGTTTCCTCAGGAACCAAAGAGTATCCGGGAAGACCAGCTGGGAATCAGTCTGTCTCTGAAGTCCTAGAACTATATGCATTAGAGAAGAAGCAAGTGGCAGGGAAGGGATGAGAAAAGAGGATCGCTGGAGGTGATGGGAGGCAGCATGGGCGCTAGAGGGAAGGAGCTGACCTGGAGACCATGCCAAGGGTAAATGGATCAGGGGGGACAGATGAAAGGCACATCTAAGACATGGAAGGTTCTGGAGATAAGTAAGCATTACATGAGATGTCTGGAGTATGGTTCCTCTCTGGCTGACGGGCCTTTATCTGTGTTCTGAGAACAGCTTGTATGAGGGGGATGGCACATGAGAAGGAATGAGGGAGGAATTCTTCCGGGAACTTTCAAAAGTCTGGCTGATTCCCTTCTAGAGCTGATCACAGCTATCAAGCTGTTGGCGTTTGCTAGAAGAATTTTAACACCAACCATACATGGAGTGCCACACCCCCGGGTGGACCTGGGATCACATCCTCCCTTTATGGTGCTTTCCTGTTGTGATTTTCCCAAACCTGTGGTCTTCAAGTATTCGTCGCCTGCCATGTCACCCTTTCCGTCAGTCCCCTAACCCAGGCCCCTGCACACACTTTCCCCTCAGGCATCAGTCATGAAGGCTCTTCTGTGTGGGCAGCCTCTTGTCTCCTCTCAGCTCTCAGGTGCCCTACCTCCAGGCCTCACTCGGCACCAGAGCATTTCTTTTTTCTTTCAGTAGTCCCCCTAGCTCTCGCACTGCCACATCACCCGTGGACCATCACTGTGTTTTCCTCTCCTGTCTCGCCCCCCTCACTCTCCTTCCTTTGCTGTGCACCTCAGCTCTGTGGTCAGTTTGCTAGTTTTGTCTTTTTCTTGATTGTTTTTTTTTTTTGCTTTCTCTATATTCCACATATCAGTGAGACCGTCTGGTATTTATCTTCTTCCTTCTGACTCCATGGGCTAGTGTACCCTTCCAGCTCCATCCTTGTTACCGCAGATGGCGCGAGTTTGTCTTTCTTGATGCCTGAGTAACATTTCATCGCGTGCCACTGCACCGGAGCATTTATGAAGAACATCCCTGGGAAGAGCCCAGCAGGAGTGGACCTGCCTCAGCTGTGTCAGTCTTTGGTGTCAGCTGTCCTGAGCCTCCCTGCTCTGTCCTCAGACCTCTCCGGGGTCTTCTCCTCTCACCAGCTGGCCTGTGACCTCCAAGTGTGTCCCCACCTGTTTACAAGTGACTTCTTGCTTTCGTTCATTGGAACGGAAGCCTCGGACATGGGTCCTCCGGACCTGTTTTTTCCGGACATTTCTGTACATTGGTATCCTCCTCTTTGCATGAGCAAGTGAAGGCAGCCCTTTATTCTATCGCTTGTTCTCACCCTTCCCAGCCTGCTCTGCGGAGAGCTGCGCCTCCCATGCTGTCTCTTGACATCGTCGGGGCATTAGGAGAGACTCTGAGAAGTGGAGTGCCTGTGTTCCCCTGAAGAGGGAAAGTTGTACTTCCCGAAGAGGGGAGTTGTTGCAATCCCAAAGAAGATCTGAACTAGGGAGTCTCCATGACAAAGCCTGCTAAAGGTCTCCTCTTTGTTCCTGGTCAATGCTGAAGTAAGTTAGTTATTCATTGGCCTGTGAAAACCTAATTGGGACCCAGGTGACAATTGGCTTATTGTTCTTATGCATGAACTGTCACAAAAGAAGTAAAAATTGTTAAAGATATAGTTAGGAAAGAAATTTTTTGGCCCTGAGAACTATGGAGAACAAGCTGCCCTGAACCAGCTGTGCTTGGAAACCATAGCCAACCTGGGGGTACCTGTTTGGGGCAACAGTACATCTCCTGGTGTATGTGAAAAGTTAACAGTGCTCAGGTTGTGTGGACGTTCGGTATTTCTTGTTGAAGGTTAGTTTTTTTTCTTTTTAAATATTTATTTTATTTATAAAGCACTGGGTACAGTCAAAGAAGCGCGGGAGGGTGAGAGAATTCACCAGAGCCAGAGCAGGGAGCAGAGCAGGCAGAAGGACGAAGGACACTGCTGAGGGGAGCAGCGGGCAGCAGGAGAGTTGCGCGCCATGTGGGACCCTCCTCCGGTGGCCTGGAGCAGCCGGCTTTCGAACCGGCGCCGCAGAGGCAGCGGACAGCTTGCAACCCAGTGCTCAACTGCTGCACCACCAGGGAGGCCCTCCATGTTTACTTTTGATGCCCAGAAACTTTATAGTCATCCCTTGGTATCTGGGGAATTGGATTTAGGAATGACACCCCCACACCCCCAGCAGATCGCAGAAGTGCACGGATGCTTAAGTTCCATATGGTTGGCCTGGAGAGTCCTCAGCACAGAGTCAACCTGCTGACATCTGTTCACCGGACCAAGTCCAGCACCGCGAGCAAAAACACGACCAGCGCGCTGATGCCCTGTTGCTGGGCTCTGCCCCTGGTGGTTCCCGCCCTCTGTGTTTACTCAGTTCCAGCAGGGAATCAGCTCCTCGGTGGCTTTGTTCTGGTCACCGGGTGGCGCCAGAGACCTGCACTTGCTGACCTTGCTTTTCCCCAGTGGTTCTCTGAGAAAAGGGTGGGGCGCCTCCACACAGGGCTGTCCTTCAAGCCGGGTGCTGTGTCTGCAGCGCGTCCACCCGGCGTTGTGCCCGCAGCTGTGTGGATCCGGCCCCGAATGCTGCGCTCTAGGCTCAGTTTCCAGGCTGTCAGGTCCAAAACGCTGGCTGTCGCCCTGTGCAGTGCCCGCTGCTAGGGCGCGTCCCGCTCCTGGTCCTGCGTCTGGCTCTCCGCCCAGGATGGGGTCCTGCTCCACGCCTGGTTTCCCTTCTTCCCCGTAGGCGCGGCCCAGCCCCTCAGAATGTGGTGATTTTGTTCTGGGCACTAGGTGGCGCCAGAGATCTTCCCTAGTGTCCTTCCAGAACTGCCTTTTTCCCTGTAGGTCTCGGGATAGAGTGGGGGTGATGGGGTTTTGGAGCCTGAGATCCTGGGGTTCACTCTGGGAAATGTTTCCCCAGACCGTGTTTCAGCAGCCCCGGGAGTTCCCAGGTCGCTCCTCCACGAGACGGAGTCGTTACTTGTGTTTACGGGCAGGTTTCTCAGGGGAAGGGAAGGGGCAGGTTTGCTGAGCGAGGCCTGCGCGGGTGCAGGTGCAGCCCTGAGGAGAGCGGCCTCCGCTGAGGGAGGTCCCTGGAGACGTCCTGGCAGGTACCGGCCACCCGCCAGGAGGCTGCGCCCCACAGAGGTGAGAGCTGGTGAGAAGAGGCTCCTGCGTGGTCCCGGGCGGGCAGGGCGGCGGGGGGCTGGCTGCCCCGGGCCTGTGCGGAGCCTGCCCTGCCACAGCCCTTTCTCCTTGGGAGCGCGCGCTCCTCCGGGAGCGGCTGCTTGCTGCGCGATGTTGGGCAACAGGCAGCGCTAGAAAGGACCAGAGATTCCGGGGTGGCCCGTCTCCACATCCTTCCCCTCAGGCCTGTGCCCACTCCCTAGAGCAGGGACCCTGCTCCCTTCCTGCCTCCTGACAAGGCGCTGGCGCCTGAGGGTCCGACCTGCACAGCTGGGTAAGGGTCCTGTGCATGTGCTCGACCCCCACCTCCTAGTGTGAGTCAGGATTTGGCCTTGGGGCTAGTCCTTTCCAGTCTTTCCATTCTTGTCCTCCATCATCCCCCCCCCCAACCTTATCCAGCCCGAATCTCTTGGGGAGTTGAAGGGAGGAGGTCCATTTTCAGGAGCTGCTCCCTGCTGGAGTGGCATGTAGAGTGGCCCTGCCTCCAAGGGCCCGGGAGATGGTCTCCCTGACAATCGTCCAGCTTGCCTGCCTGTTGGTGGTTCTGGAAGGAGTTGAGGGGGGCATCTGGACAGGCTGTTCCCCTGGAGGGGTGAGCTGTTTGTTGGAAGGAGGAGTTTAACCTTGAGCGGCTCCCCTCGCTTAGAAGAAACAAATTTGAGTAGGAGATTGTGTATGTTAAGATTTGAAGAGGAGAATGAGAAGTACAGCAGCGGCTAAGGGCCCTCGTCACAGGTGAGTTGTAACAGGGGGTCCCAGGAAAGGGGAGGTTTCCAGGTTCCTGCCCCACCCAAGGGAGGGTGGAGCTGAGCAGGGAGAGGAGAAGCTGCAGAGGAGACTGAGAGAGGAAGGAAGCAGGATGGCAGAACCTGTTTAGAGCAGGCAGGTTGCAGGTCTGGGCTGTGCCCCTCCCTGCCCTGGAGCAAAGTCATTGGGGCCAGCAGCTGAGTGTAGGCTAGTCACAAGCTGAGCAGTAGTAGAATAGCAAGTGTTGGGGTTGGGACATGAGAGCACATTGCACCAGGGACGCAGCCCATTTTTCGAGTGCCCTTAGACTGAAAGAATGTCGGTGGGATATTTGTTCCTCGCAGAGGAGCTGTTCTAAATCTCCCTGGTGTCCCTAGTTAGAGCAACACCCACCCTGGGAGCCCTGAAATGCTGGAGTAAGGCACAAAGCCAGGCACTCAGCAGGAGGGTTGGCTTGCTGTGTGTGCAGAGTCCCAGGCCAGGGAAAAATACTAGTTTCTTAGTTTAGTTAGGGACAGTGTTGTGCGACTTATCACTGGGAGGCTTGTCAGACTCTCAGGAAGTTGGGTGAGCTTTAAAGTAAAGTTAGAGTGAGGACCGCAGTCCTTCTTTTATTTATTTATTTTTTAAGGAATATTTCTTATAATACAAGAATCGTGGTACAGGCCAGATGCTTGAGAGGGTGAGAGGATTCACCCAGAGACAGAGTGGGAACAGAACAGGCAGACTGACTGAAATACACAGCTGGGAGGAGCATCAGAGGACAGGAGAGGTCTGCTGTGACATGGGTATCTCTCTGTCCGGGGATCCAACCTGTGCTGCAGTGGCCGAGGAGAGTCCCATGGCCTGCATCCCAACCCCTTGCCCCACCAGGGAGGCGCCATAAAATGATTTTTAAAAATATTTATTTATTTATGCATACAAAAGCTGGGGTACAGGCCAGAGATGCATGTGTGAGAGGATCCACCAGAGAGTGGGAACACAGAACAGCAGACTGACTGAAATACGCTGCTGAGGGAGCAGCGGGAGAGACAGGAGAGGTCTGCTGTGCCATGTGAGTCAGTTCCCCGGCCAGGGATCAAACTTATCCTTCAATGGTTGTCATAGCTTCATAGTGCTGTACTGAACCCCTTTGTGCCACCATGGGGCTCCTCACAACTCTCTTTCACCTTGTGTCCTACGTAGAGTTCTGCTGGTGCCATGTAGTAACTGTATATTTTGATTTCAGGAACCCTTGACCTGCAGAGATGTGCCATCGAATTCTCACACAAGGAGCAGGAGGTCCTGGACCAGCTGCAGTGGAAATTGTACAGGGACGTGATGCTAGAGGCCTACAGAAATGTGGTGTCCTTGGGTGAG